TGCAACCTAAGGTCCAAATGGAAGATGACTACTACAGACAACCCGACTTAAAATGCTCTAGTTGTAGCCGACAACCCAGGGAGATCGGGGGAAGGGACAAGACTTGAAATGACGAACATGTTGCCGGAATGGAACAAGAAATTGGGTCATTGAGAGAAGAGATACAGCAAATCCAGGAGTTGGCACACCTGGCCGTGACGACGCTTCCACAACTACCCCTCCCATCACTTGATTCAATCCCTGGCCATTTCCCTCCATCAACCCGACAAACAACTAATACCCCAACTACTACCACTACAAACTGCTCCATAACTCAATTCATACCGCCAGTAACCCCTATAAAGCCACCAAACCCTCACATACACACACCATACATTCCCAATTATGTTCGAGCTCCACAAAATCTACCAACCAGCACCAATTTGGCCCACACCCCTCGTCGTAATAAATTCACTTTCTCCAACAACCATACGTAGTATATACCTATGGCACACACCGCCACCCATGAGCGATATGTTCCACCCAAATATGTTACTTCTAAACCCATCTTTACCATACCTATCATAGTCAGAGTGCCTTGTGAGATAGACCAGAATGCCGAATTGGAGAGAGAAGCACAATGCAAAAAAGATATGTCATTATCTGAACAACTACTGTTATTAAGGAAAGAGATGAAGAACCTCAGAGTAGCTCGAGGGAGCGAGAGCTTGGGTTATGAGTACCTATGTATACACCCTGATGTTGACATGCCCGTAGGGTACAATCCTCCAAACTTGACATCTTTGATGGAACAGGCAATCCGCACGCTCACTTGAGGACATACTATGACAAGTTAGTCGGAGTGGGAGAAACGAAAAGTTAAGAATGAAACTATTTATAAGAAGACTTACTGGGGAAGAACTCACTTGGTAAACCAGAAAAGACTTTGGGAATTGGAGGGAGTGGTAGGACATGGGTGAGGATATAATGAACATTTCAGGTTTAACACTGTGATCACTCCGGATAGATTTGGTGAATCTACAAAAGAAGCTCTCTAAATCATTCCAAGAATATGCTCACCGTTGGAGATCAGAAGCTACTAGGGAACAATCCTTGTTGGATGATAACGAGCTGACTAAGTATTTCATCTATGCTCAAGAAGGAATCTACTTCAAGAAGATGACGGGAATGATGGGTTAGAAGTTCCCTAAGCTGGTCAAAATGGGAGATTTCCTGGAAGAATGTATTAAGTCAGGAAAGATACAATCAATGGCCGCTCTACAAGCTGCTAGCAAGGCTATACAATCTGGTTCCATCAACAGTGGAAAGAAGAAGAAAGAAAAAGTGTCTGCGATTGTCCCCTACTATCAATGGAGTCCTCCTTGTCGAACCAATTCCTACCCCACAAACATGCCTCCTTCACATCAACCAACTTAAACCCCCAGTATATAATACCCAATCATACTACAACACAATTCACGATTTGTAAAATAATTAAATCTATTCTTTCTCCATACAAGGCAATTTCAGGTGACTTCAACAAACCCTATTGTATATCGTCGAAATGGTCACAGCCCCGACGTCTGGTGGTGGTAAGCAACCGGACAAAGCTCAAAACATGCATGATCCGAATTTAGGCATAACCATCACTCCTTCCCCAGCTGCTACAGATATCAAAGATGGTGGCACAAAAGCTATAGCAATTAATCGACTGGGCTCCGAGAAAAACTCCCAACTCGCGGTTGGGCCAAATCATGTAACTTCAAGCCATGGGGATCGTTCTCCAATTCAAACATTATCAATCCAACAAATCTCTCTTCAACCAACATCTGGATTCATCAATAAGGAGTTGCTACCTCATCAACTGATTGGGAATGAAACCCTAATTCCCCGTCCGGCATAGGAATGTGATCTCAACATGACTAAGGTGGTCCCTAGCCAACCAATTGCCACATCAATGCAAGAAAACACAACTAAAGAACATGCTGCCCCAGGTGCTCGAGGTAATGTCACAACAAATTCTTCCATCCAAACGGGTGCACAAGGTGAATCTCTATCTTCTTTAAAACAATCGGAATCTAATTTTCAACTTGCAATACAACCACCTTAAAAGACTACAGATCAGCCACCATCTTCAACTGAAGCACAAACCATGAGGATTAGTTCTAGAGCCATTATTCCTGTTTCTAACACAGCTGCTGAGAATGCCCCTTCCAACACTAAGGAAGCCCCCAATTCAACCAATCAACAAACTAATAACACCCTCCAAAGTAATCAAGCCAACACTATAGTAACACAACATCAACTAAATGCTACACAAGCACAACCAACTCCCACAATTCAAGAACACCCCAAAAAACCAACCCAGTACCACAAAAAATACCCTGACAAAAATATCCTTCAACTTTGATAAACCTGAGCAACCTAACCACTCCAATCAAAACCCTATAGTAAAGCAAATCCCTAGCACCACAAACACCAATACACAACCATCAAAAACCAACCCCAAAACCAAACAACCAGCTGTCAACCAACCTTCCACTCCTCCATCACCCACAATCAAACACTCTTATGTTAATAATTTGAGGGTAAGGAATGAGACTGAGGTAGAGCCAATTGAATTCACTCTACCTAATATCACTACCAATCAAGGTCAACCTGCTGTAATCTTCACCATGGAGGATTACATGGTGAAGTTGGATGCAAGATGTGAGTATACTATGGTGGGCAAATTGTCAAACACCATCCCTAGATAGGAGGCCATCAGAAGAAGTTTTGTGGCACAAACTGAATTAAAGCGAGATGTTAAAATTACCCATTTTAATGCAGTACTGTATATATTGATCTATATAATGAATATGATCATGTCACTATTTGTACAAGGTAATTCATGTACATTTAGGGATAAATCATAAAGCTGGAAGCTTGGGCACCTACATTCAACCCTGTTAAAGACTCTTTAATTGTGCTAATATGGGTAGTCATTTCGGAATTGCCCTGACACTATTTTACATGGAAATACTAAGAGGGCTACTATCTCCTATTAAAAAGGCCCTTCACTTTGATCTGGCATCATTTCAAAAGATAAGGGGCAGTGTGGCAAGGGCCAAAATACAAATTGATCTGACCAAATCAAGACCCTATCATGTTCGATTGGGATTTGATGACAAACAAGATGAGAATGGAGAAGGACAGTGGCTTGAGGTTCAGTATGAAAACATACTTGAGTATTGTTTATATTGCAAACATTTAGCTCATAACATACAAGCACGTCAAGTCAGACAAAAGGATGAGGAAAACAAAAAGAAGAAGAACAATCTAGAAGTCAACAAGGAAGTGTTAGTTTAGCAAAACATTTCTGAAACCCAACCAAAGGTGCAAAATCAATAGGGCCAAAAAGAGAGCCATAACAAAGAAGGTAAAGACAACAATGCTGGAAATTACCAAGATAGAAAGGAACACCAAAGCACATGGCCTAACCCTCCAACTGATGAATGGCAAACACAAAGGAAAAGACACATCCAAGGGTACAACCAACAGAATAACAAGTAGCAGAACCACCATTATGGACAAAAATAAAATTATGAACAACGGGTGAGGAAGATAAGCAACGAACATGAAGGCAGTAAAAACCAAGAGAAAGCTGATGCCCAATCTTTAGATACAGCTATTGCTGATCCAACTAATGGAGAGAATGGTACGCGTACTATCTCTCAGGAGTTACCTAATCCAGATGAAGTCAGTTCTAAAGAAGATGAAGGAGTTCAAGATGGCACCAACCAACAGAATACTGAATATGGTACAGAGGAAGTATACTGTGACATAGAGACTTCTGAAGAGGAAGGTCAGCCCTGTGACATGAAAAGACTAATTAAAGGTAAATATCATGTAGCTTCTGACTTGCAAATTCAGTCCCCCGGACCTAAGCACAAACCAAGTCATAAAAAAAGGAGAGAAATGAAAAGGAAGGGTATCAACACAATTCAGCACACAACAGATATTGACAGTACTGCTACCTTACCTAAGGAACAACCTCAGAGCCCAAGCATGATATCTGGTTTTGAAGCTGATGGTCCATGCAAAGCTGAAGGTTACAGGAAATAAGGGATTGATAATCCCTCATTGCCTTAATCCCCAGTTGATGACAAAGGAAGTAATATGGATAAAAAGGGAGAAGCTAATCAAGATGGTTCTTCTGGCACTTTATTGCATGCAGAAACACAATATGAGCAGCCAAACTCCCTACAAATTTGATTGATGGAAATCTTCCACTCAGTAGGTTACCTCTAGTATGTCCAGAGAAAGATGAATACATGCCCATATAGTCAGAAGATGACAACAAAGGGGATCCAAAGAGGAGTTTGAAGAGTTCAATGGAGGATTTGATGATGAATAACATTGTAGTCTTCTAGTGGCAACTATAAATTGTGGCCCTGGGAAAGGAAAAGCCACAATTACACCACCTTTACCCTCAAAAGTCAGAAATACACCCAGATTAACTAGAAGAAAAGCTGCAACCAGCATTAATATCCCACCAAAATCCAAAAAAACCCATCAGTTTTAAATGATTAGTACAATCATTTTGAATGCAAGAGGAATCAGATCCTCTGGAGCCATTGAAAGGCTCAAAACTCTGAAACAAATTCATAAACTCTCTTTCATTACTGTATTGGAATCTTTCCTTGATATCAATTACCTCACTTACTTTAGACATCATCTCTCCATGCATCATGCAGCTTCCAATATCAATGGCAAAATATGGGCATTCCAAGATCAAGAATTCAATGGCAATGTCTTAGATCAAGATGAGCAACAAATATCTATTGAACTGAGGCATGCTGAAGCAAAGGGGGAAATTTCACATCACTATTATTTATGCAAAATGCAAATCACATTTGAGAAGAAGTCTTTGGGAAACACTGAGGTTCAAATCCACAATGTGCAATGTCCCTGGGTGTGTTATTGGGGACTTCAATATCATTGCTTCTGTTGAAGAGAAGATTGGAGGAGTCTCATACTAGATGAATAAGAGCCTTGACTTTCTCAGTATGATTGAAGACTGTGGGCTCACAGACCTTGGATACTATGGACCAAGACATACACGGTCCAATAGGAGAGGTCCCTGCTCTATTGTCTGGAAAAGGCTGGATAGAGGTCTAGTAAATGACAATTGGCTTACCTTCTTCCCTGGCACAACTATCACACATCTAGCTTCTGCTGGATCAGATCACTCTCCACTGCTTATGGAGATGCATGTGAGACAAGAAACAACAAGGAGATACTTTAAATTCCTCAACTACTGGTTTGAAAATGACACCTGCATGCCTTTGATTCTCAGAGTTTGGAGTATGAATGTCAATGGACGTGCAATGTGGATCTTCCACCAAAAATTAAAGGCCGTCACTAAGGCCCTGAGCTTATGGTCTAAGGAACAATATGGGGATATCTTCCAAAATCCTGAAGAGTTTGAACAAAAAGTCAAGGAATCTGAAGAGAAATGAACAAATACTAACAATCCAGTTGATAGGATTAACTTACAGGAGGTACATGCCCAATATGTAAGATATCTGAAGATTGAAGAAGCAGTATTGAAACGGAAGACCCAACTTCAATTGTTTAAATAGGGTTATGCAAATACTAGATATTTTCACAGTCTTTTTAGAGAAAGAAGAAGAGGACTGTACATCCAAAAAATCAAAGATGAAGACGGAGATTGGATACAAGGGGATGAAGATATTGGTGAAGATGCCTGTAATTATTTTGAATACCTCTTGTAAGGTCCCGTAAAATTTCACCTAAAACTTCGGGTTTCGTGGTGCCACGGTTTGATCTTTTTTGGTTGAAAATTATATCGAGGAGTTGGTGGAAATTGTAGGCAGAAGAAGGTGATTATGTGGTAAGATTCGCGACCGCAGATCCATTATGCGGGCCGCATACCCATCGCAAAGTTGAGCAGCAAAATTGTTGAATTTTGAAGGTCATTTTGTGGTCAAATATGCGGTCGCATAATCGTTTTACGGGCCGCATTTCCATCGCAGAACCAGCATGAGAAATTTCGCAAGGAGGTTCTACGGTCCATTATGCTACTGCATAATTGATCTGTAGACGTCATACCTGTTGCATACCTGCATAGAAGTGCCCAGTTCTGGAGGGCCATTATGCGGTCTATTTTGCAGACCACGGAATTGTTATGCGGTCACATATGCGACCGCAGATCTGCATCGGGGCTTCATTTTTATAATTCTATAACCTGACTCCATTTCATTTTATCTATCCATAGGGCTAATTTTTGAGGGATTATCTTATATTTTAGAGAGATAAGAGAGCTATTCTAGAGAGAGAGAAAGGGAGGATTTAAGGATTTAACTACTCAACTCTGATCAAGCCTTGGAATTTCATCATGAGGAACTTGCTAGGTTTTCTAAAAGGTAAGAATTTCTTTCCCCAATTCTCAAATTCCGGATTTGGGGTTGATTAGGGGTGATGAGAGTAGACTTATCGCATGTATGAGCTAATAGGGATTGTGGGAAAGTTGTTGGACAATCTTCGGTGATTTTGTTATTGAGTTGGTTGAGGAAAGTTTGGGTTGTCATTGTAGCAGCTCTTGCCATACCAATTTCTCTAATCGTGCTTGTGATTCTCTCCTCTTCTATAGATTGGCATCATTAGGAGTGTCAGGACATTATTGTTACACCACAGAAAGCTCTTTCGAGATATGAAGGCTAAATTCCTCTTCTAGTATCGGAATTCCCGTATTTTTACAAAACTTCATCGTGTGTAGTTTGAACTCGAAACACTATTGAGGTGGGATATTCAAGCTAGTAAACTGATTTCCAAATTGCATAACATGTCAGAACCCCTATGTGTTAATGATTCTCTATTTTGAGTTAATTATATTATACCCCTTTTTGGGAAGAAAGTTTTGTACGAAATTAGTGTGATCCAATTTCATATATCTTATATGATGAAATCTTATGAACTTATATTTGTCAAGGCCAAAGGTGCCGAAGGGTTTTATTTGAAAGGATTTGTTTTGTACAAACTGTTATCGTTTTGAGAATCCAAATTGTGGCATAGTGTAATCACCTCCACCCGCACACATTGGGGTGAGGCGGTATGGCTGCTTTGTGTAGAGATTGTGATTTTGTGAATACACCTCACCCGCACACATTGGGGTGAGGCGGCGTGGCCGCTTTATGTAGATATTGTGGTATTGTGATTACACCTCCACCCGTACATATTGGGGTGAGGCGGCAGGGCCGCTTTGTGTAGAGATTGTGGCATTGTGATTACACCTCCACCCACACACATTAGGGTGCGGTGGCATGGCCACTTTGTATAGATATTGTGTCATTGTGATTACACCTCCACTCGCACACATTGGGGTGAGGCGGCAGGGCCGCTTTGTGTAGAGATTGTGGCATTGTGATTACACCTCCACCCACACACATTAGGGTGCGGTGGCATGGCCACTTTGTATAGATATTGTGTCATTGTGATTACACCTCCACTCGCACACATTGGGGTGAGGCGGCAGGGCCGCTTTGTGTAGAGATTGTGGTATTGTGGTAGAGGTTGTTATAGTGGATCCCAACTTGAAATTTATAAATGTTATAGAAAGGTTTAAATGAATTTACTATGGTTTTAATGGCTATTTAAGAACTTTTATTGCTTCCATAATTCGTCACATTCTTGTTGTACTTCCAATCCTTGAAGGGGGTGTTTGGTTTTCATACGAATACTATTCCATATGTACTAACATCCCTTTTGCCGGGGGTGCTATATTTTAATGGATGGAGGTGGTTCCACAACAGGCGGTTGATCAATGATAGCAGTACATCCTCTCCTCAGCTGACTTGGTAAGCCCCACTTCCTATCGGGGTCTTGTATCTTTTGTTCTTTATGTATGATATTTTGAGGTATAGACGGGCCCTTATTTCCGGCACTATCATATCACTCTTTTTTATCTCTTAGAGGATCCATAGACATGGTGTGGGTTGTATATTGGTGCTGCGAAAGTCTAATTGGTAATGTTTTATTTGAATCACTTGTTCCACTTCAAACTATGTAAGTGTACGTATAAGGATAACTTTCCAAATTCAACATTATCTTCAAATCTCTTAAGAAAAGAACATAGTAACGTTCTTTCTAAGAGAGCTCAACCAAGCTTTCCATTTTCATGTAACATTATTCCTAAACTCATAAGAAGAGTTTCAGCAAGCTTTCCGTTACACAACATTGATTCTAAATCTCTTGAGAAAGGGTTTCGACAAAGATGATTTTGCAATAGCAACGTTATTGCTTTGAGCATTTCATGCGGATTATTCCCTATTTCGATCTCGCCGTTACGTGTTTCATCGCAATTAACGTGTGTTAGAGGGATTGTAAAGAGAATCGACTCGGGTATGTTAAGGCTATCCCTTCTTTCTTTTTGGCATGATCTATCAATACAAACGAAACGAGCAAATGCACAATTTCTATAAATGACTCTATTCATAGAAATATTAGGGGTGTCTATATTCTTGATTCCCCATGTGAATTATTATTATATCTTCTATTCATGGGTCTCAGAAAAATACGTATTTGATAAAATTTATCCGACAGGCATATTATTTTTATGACATTCCGAGAAAATCTTGTTAACGTATTTCTTAAGGCATATTATTTTTATGATATTCCGAGAAAATATTATTAACGTATTTCTTATGCATTTCATGCATTTATACATATACATTGACCCATGGCCAGATGGCGTTATATACGCATATATATGTATATTATATGTATATGGGATCTGGAAAAAGATTATGGCGTTATATACGCACCACCACCGGATCAGCTGGTATACGTTGATGATTTGCCCACAGTGGCCGAAATAATATGATGTCATCCCCTCAAAGGCTTGATGATGTTATGAATGCATATACCAATGCATGGTATGACATTTATACGCATATGCATGACATTATAAAAATAAAATGATTCATAGAGCTATGCAAACGTACATGTCCAATCTTTTACTCCATGTTTCTCTCATGTCCATTATTTACTAATTTTAATTCCTTACATACTCGTTACATTATTTGTACCGACGTCCCTTTTGCCTGGGGACGCTGCGTTTCATGCCCGCAGATCTCGATAGACAGGTCGAGAGTCCTCCAAGTAGGCGATCAGCTTAGCGAAAGATGTTGGTACACTCCATTTGTTCCGGAGTTGCTTGTGTGGTCAGTATGACTAGGACATGTACTGATTAGTATGGCGGGGCCCTGTCCCGACCTTTATGACATTTATGTACTCTTAGAGGCTTGTAGACATATGTCGTGTACGTAAAAGATTGTACGGCCTTATCGGCCTATGTTTTGAGTTTATAAATGATGATGTTGGCCTATTAGGCCCATATGTCACGTGTATATAATGATGTAATAAGAAAAATACATTACGTTGGTACTCGGTTGAGTAAGGTACCGGGTGCCCGTCGCGGCCCATCGGTTTGGGTCGTGACATAAGTGGTATCAGAGCAGTTCTGTCCTAGGGAGTCTACAAGCCGTGTCTAGTAGAGTCTTGTTTATGAGTGTGTTTTGGACCACACTTATAAGCAAGAGGCTACAGGGCATTTAGGACTGTCACTCTTTCTTCTCACTCTAGATAGTGTGGTAGAGCTCAATTTCCTAAACTCTGTCTTATTCATAATACGACGATGCCCACATCCAGAAATATGATTGGTAAAATATTGCATATGGCTATGGAAGAGTTGAGCTAGAGGAACTCGATTCTGCATGATGCTTATGATGAGTCAATATGAGGTCTTCAGCGGATCATGCGTGTACTAAAAGGTGTAAGCTTCTTGATAAGAAGCCCTAAGGCATGAATATTTATCCACCCATCTCAGTCATGCCCTATGAGAGCAAATGGATATGGTTTAAGAGAAGGACAGGATATCAGGATCCAGCTGTGGTTAAAGTAACCCAAAATGATGGATGAATTGTTTAAGTTAAGACATTTTCAAAGGATATTACAAATGTGCTAATAGACCCCCTTATGAAACACCCAGATGGTGCACTCTAGAATATTACAATTAGATGTGAATACTAGCATGACCAAGAAAATTCAGAAGAGGCACTGAAAGTCTGGAAGGGATAAATACTACCTTAGTGTGGCTCCCGTCCCTAGTAGAGCGAAAACGTTGAGCAAACTGAAGAGCCAATGAAGGAAGCAAGGGGAGCTAAAAGCAAAAGAATGTCTTGTTGAAGTTTTCAAAAGAAAGGGATAGGCACAAATATTAGCAGGGAAATAAGAAGAGAGACAAGGAAACATTATGAGTAAGATGTGATCCATGGATGACAACGGTAGATCAAAAACATGATAGTATTACAGAGACTATAGTCAAGTGAAGGAAAATATGAGAGGTGACAGGCCTTGAGGCCACAAAAGAATATATGTCATAAAGTCACATCTTCATTTCGAGAAATAAGTTCGCAACTCCAACGCGACTACCAGAAGG